ATTTTCATGTAACCTGGATATCGAAGATACAGTACACAAAAACAAAACATTGGCTAATAAAATGTTACTTATCAAAGTTAGAGGGAATATAACTTTGGGATATAGTAATGGCGGCTGAATTGGCCCTCAGAATAACTGAGACCTTAAATGTTTATATTACAAAGACTGGCTAGATGTTAGTGAGACACAAGCTAGTGAAAGGAAGCAAAGAAACAGGGGATATGTAAAAGAAATTAAGATCAGGGATTAAAAACTGAGACCACTGGACATGGTGGCACATACCTATAACTTGGGAGGGTGAGACAGGAAAATCACTGAGAGTTCAAAGCCAACCTGGGCTACATAAGGAAGTTTAAGAGCAGCCTGCACTACATAGTGAGGCCCTGTCTCCAAAAACAGAAAAAAAAAAAGAAAAAAAAAGCTGGGGAGACAGCTTGGTGGTCTATGCTTGCCTGGCAAGCATAAGGACCCAGGTTCAATCCCTGATACCACATGCCATGCTAACCCCAGAACCTGGCACGCAGTGCTCAGGAGGCTGAGACAGGAGGATCACTATGAGTCCGAGCTGCATAGTGAGACCCTGTACCAAATACATAAATAAAAGATTAAGAAATGTAGATAGATAGATAGGTAGATAGATAACTTATAGATCTTTGGCTCCAAAATAAATATAAAACCTGATTTACAATCATTTTGTAAAAAAAAAAAAAAAGTCAATCAGTTCTTTAAATATTTTGCACGAAAACTCAGAAAAGATGGCTTTATAGGAAAATTTTATCATATATACAAATTACATATAATTCTAATCTCATATATCATGTGTTCCCTAGAAATAAAAACAAAGAAATAGAAATAAAAACAAAGAACATACAAACTCAATAAATAAAAATTCTAGAAAAAAATTCTAAAAATCCAAAGTCAAACAAATAAATAAATAAAAATCCAAAGTCATTACACTTAAAAACATATATACAATGACCAATTCATTTCAGAATTTAACATTGTTTTCATATTAATGAATATATTCATTCAGGTCACATTAGTAGAATAAAAGAAACACTTTGTGCCACAGAAAAAACAGGCACACACATCTGTAACCATAGCATACAAGAAGTCTGAAGAAGAAAAATCTCAAGTTCAAGGCCATCCTGAGCAATTTAGCAACAATTTAGTGAGACCATGTCACCAAATAAGCCTGGTGTGATTCCAACACTACAAAAACCATCTCTTCCTTTCTTTCCTCCTCCTCTTCCTCTGCCTTACCCTCTCCTCCTCAGCTTTCCCTTCCCCTCTCTTTATTTTGAGAGGGTCTTATAAGTAACTCAGTTGCAAAGCCTAGGGTTGAGCCTTCAGTCCCCATGCCTCAGCCTCCAGCCTGCTGCATGAGATCACCTGCGTGTGCAAAGAAAACTTTGAAGCAAACATACTACTTAATTATAAATAGCAAAAGCAATTCATTCTGTTCTATTTATTTGAGACAGGGTCTCGCTATGTAGTACATGCTGGACTTAAATGCATTTATGTAGCCCAGACTGGCTGGCCTCAAACAGGGTGACCCTCATGCCTCAGCCTCCCAAGTGCTGGGATTATACACATGTGCAACCACACCAGGATAAAAGAAATTCATTTTAAATTAGACCAATGAACTATAATGTCTACAGTAACAGTTCTATTAGAGCTGATGGACAAAAATTAAAGAAAAATAGTAAATTAATCAAAATTGTAGGAGACAAAATAAAAATCAACTATAAATCAAATTTTATATGCTAACAAATAACCAAATAATGGAGTCTGACAGGATCTGT